CAGATTCCAAGTTATTTCCTTGCTAAAAATGTTTTAACCTTCAGAAGACCATCTGTATCATTTCCAAAGATGTAACAGCCAGATCATTGCTGCCACTTCCAGTGTCTTCCCAGGAACAGTATCTGCTGAACAACAGAAGCCACCTCACAAAAGTACCTGGATAAATTTGCCTCTTGCTAAGGCTCATTTGTAGCTAATTCTAAAAACGCTGCAGGTCCTGCACTATATTTAAGCTTGGCAGGATTCGATTTAAATGCACTGATGTCAGTAAATGTTAATTTCAGCTGACACACTGAAATGGACAAAAAACATATCCATTGGGGAGTGGGTGGAAGTGCAGCCTCCCCCACACACCCCTGAAGCCCTGCTGCCACAGCCTCACTCACCAGCCAGGAGTAAAGTAGCCATCCTCAGGCCGGAGCTGTTCAGTAGCAGGGTGGCCTCACCTGCGGCCGGGGGCTTGTCCTTGCAGCCCTGGTTGTGGCGGTGTGCTCCACCAGACCAGGACCGCAGGATTCCCCTGAACCTTGTGCCCCAGTGTCTTGGGCGCCTCAGCCATAAAGGGAGCTCCTGAAGTCTCGTTACCAGTGCCACAGCTAACCCTAACCTCAACCTTTCCCATCTTCCTTTTTTAATTTCCTGCAGCTATAAAAATAAAAATTGTTAAAAATTAAAAAATAAACACATAAGTTAATCAACAAAACTGCAAAAAATAAAAACAGAATTCTGCCAGCAAAACTGTATTTCCTGTTCTCACATGACCCTCTTGTGGAAAAGGATAGGTTGCTACCTGACAGCTTTTTAAACCCAAGGGTGAACTTCTAAAGGTTGGGAATAAATACTATCCTAACAGCTTGAATCTCCAAGATCGGACCAGAAACCTCATGAAAACAGACTCTTTTGCTTCCATGAGAGCATTTTTATTCTGTGAATTATAGTACTGCCTAGAGACCCCAACCCATGGCAAGACCCTGCTGCACTACTCCCTATGTACACACAGTGAGAGCCCCTGGAGAGCTAACAGTCTAAGTAGACAAGACAGACAAACGCAAAAACCCAAGACTCACCTCTGTCATGACATCCAGCCTGCTGATAAAGGCTAGAGAGATGACAAGCTGTGCCTATTCTTTCTTCTTTCCTTTCCCTACTCTCTTCTTCCTATCCTCTAACCACAATGAAATAAAAATACCAACATCCACATAACACTGGGCCAATTCTTCACCCCCTCATTTGCCTGTATGTTGTATCCCCATCCTCTACCCTTTGTCTGTTTGTCCGAAGGGATCACGTCTCTGCTGTGTTTGTACATCACCCAGCCCAACTAGTGCTATTATAATACAAATATTTAGTAACAGTAAAAGGTGGAAGAAGAGGATAATATACTTTCCTATTTTACATCTGGAGGAATGAGGAACAAAGAGGTTAAGTGTCTTGCCCAGGGCTACCCAATTAATCTGTAGCAGAGCTCAAATCTCCCAAATCCCAGTCCAGTGCCCTAACTTCAGGGCCAGCCCTCCTTATCTGGGGTATGCGGGCACTTCCAGTTTCAGGCCCAGAGTACACAGAAATAAAGACCATCAGTAAAATCTTCATCCAAACACTTCAGAACTTTCTAAAATAGCATGGGTTTGGTCCTAGAGATGGGTGAAGGCCCACAAATGTGGGGCTGGGGTGTCAAATTCAATGATTTACCCATTCAATGATTTACCAATGACAGACAGACAGACAGACACACACACACACAAAGGTTCTCAAACTTCATTGCCCCGCGACCCCCTTCTGACAACAAAAATTACTACACGACTCCAGGAGAGGGGACAGAAGCCTGAGCCCGCCCAAGCCAAAGCCTGAACCCCACTGTCCTGGGTAGAGGGGCCAAAGCCAAAGCCCAAGGGCTTCAGCCCGAGGAAGGGGGCCTGTAACCTGAGCCTCGCTACTCAAGGCTGAAGCCCTTGGGCTTCAGCTTCGACCCCAGGCGGTGGGGCTCCGGCTTTGACTTTGGCCCTGAGCCCCAGAAATCTAACACCAGCCCTGGTGACCCCATTAAAATGGGGTCGTGACACACTTTGGGGTTCCAACCCACAGTTTGAGAACTACTGGACTGTCTTAAAAAAAATAAAAGGTATCCAGCAAAATGACACACCCTCTTTCCTGATTAGACATTAGGAAAATATTTCGTCCTGGATAGTTAGACAATGGAACTGTTTGCCAAGTGAGGCTTCTGAGCCCCAGACACCAGTGGTGTGAAAGCACCTATCATTTCAGAGCTCCATCCAGCAGAACCAAGACACCTTCTTCCTAAGGATGCACAGCCCACAAGCACTCCCACACCATGTGCCAGCAGCTGAGGGGACAGGTGGTTTCAACCCAAAAATAACTACCATAAAACAGCTGGAACTTACATCCATGCCTTACAACCATCCCGATGTGTAGAAAGAATAGTAAATATGGCAGACAACCAGCTTGGCTTCACAGTGAAATCCTTGCTGATCTTAAACACAAAAAAGAAGCTTACAAGAAGTGGAAGATTGGACAAATGACCAGGGAGAAGTATAAAAATATTGCTCACGCATGCAGGAGTGAAATCAGGAAGGCCAAATCATACTTGGAGTTCCAGCTAGCAAGAGATGTTAAGAGTAACGAGAAGGGTTTCTTCAGGTATGTTAGCAACAAGAAGGAAATCAAGAAAAGTGTGGGCCCCTTACTGAATGAGGGAGGCAACCTAGTGACAGAGAATGTGGAAAAAGCTTAATGTACTCAATGCTTTTTTTGCTCTGTCTTGATGAACAAGGTCAGCTCCCAGACTACTGCACTGGGCAGCACAGCATGGGGAGGAGGTGACCAGCCCTCTGTGGAGAAAGAAGTGGTTCGGGACTATTTAGAAAAGCTGGACGAGCACAAGTCCATGGGGTCAGATGCGCTACATCCGAGAGTGCTAAAGGAGTTGTTTCAGAGTAGCCGCTGTGTTAGTCTGTATCCGCAAAAAGAAAAGGAATACTTGTGGCACCTTAAAGCAGTGGTCTCCAAACTTTTTGGCTCACGCACCCGCATGCTGAAGACCGGAAGACCTGCCACAGATGCGTCACCGAAGGAAGAAGACCAGAAGACCAGCCGCAAGTGCGCTGCCAATGGAAGAAGAACGGAAGACTTACTGCAGGTGGGCCGCCGAAGGGGAACACCAGCTGTGGGCCTGTAGAGCTGCCAACAAAGAAAAAAACGGCAGAGTGCCGTCCGGCAGTGCTCCTGGTGCAGCGCACCCTCTGGGATCATCTCACACACCCCAGTTTGGAGACCCCGGCCTTAGAGACTAACAAATTTATTTGAGCATAAGCTTTTGTGAGCTACATCCAATGAAGTGAGCTGTAGCTCACGAAAGCTTATGCTCAAATAAATTTGTTAGTCTCTAAGGTGCCACAAGTACTCCTTTTCTTTTTTTCTAAAGGAGTTGGCGGTTGTGATTGCAGAGACATTGGCCATTATCTCTGAAAACTCATGGTGATCGTGGGAGGTCCCGGACAACTGGAAAAAGGCTAATGTAGTGCCCATCTTTAAAAAAGGGAAGAAGGAGGATCCGGGGAACTACAGGCCAGTCAGCCTCACCTCAGTCCCTGGAAAAATCATGGAGCATGGATTCCTCAAGGAATCAATTCTAAAGCACTTAGAGGAGAGGAAAGTGATCAGGAACAGTCAGCATGCATTTACCAAGGGCAAGTCATGCCTGACTAAACTAATTGCCTTCTATGACAAGATAACAAGCTCTGTGGATGAGGGAAAAGCAGTGGTCATGTTATTCCTTAACTTTAGCAAAGCTTTTGATACGGTCTCCCACAGTATTCTTGCCAGCATGTTAAAGAAGTATGGCCTAGATGAATGGACTATAAGGTGGATAGAAAGCTGGCTAGATTGGCGAGCTCAACTGGTAGTGACCAATGTCTCCATGTCTAGTTGGCAGCCAGTATCAAGCGGAGTGCCCCAAGGGTCGGTCCTGGGGCCGGTTTTGTTCAATATCTTCATAAATGATCTGCAGGATGGCGTGGACTGCACCCTCAGCAAGTTTGCAGATGACACTAAACTGGGAGGAGAGGTAAATACGCTGGAGGGTAGGGATAGGATACAGAGGGCCCTAGAGAAATTAGAGGATTGGGCCAAAAGAAATCTGATGAGGTTCAACAAGGACAAGTGCAGAGTCCTGCACTTAGGATGGAAGAATACCATGCACCGCTACAGACTAGGGACCAAATGGCTAGGCAGCAGGTCTGCAGAAAAGGACCTAGGGGTTACAGTGGACGAGAAGCTGGATATGAGTCAACAGTGTGCCCTTGTTGCCAAGAAGACCAATGGCATTTTGGGCTGTATAAGTAGGGGCATTGCCAGCAGATCGTGGGACTTGATCGTTCCCTTCTATCCGACATTGGTGAGGCCTCATCTGGAGTACTGTGTCCAGTTTTGGGTACCACACGACAAGAAGGATGTGGAAAAATTGGAAAGTGTCCAGCAGGGGGCAACAAAAATTATTAGGGGACTGAAGCACATGACTTATGAGGAGAGGCTGAGGGAACTGGGATTCTTTCGTCTGCAGAAGAGAAGAATGAGGGGGGATTTGATAGCTGCTTTCAACTACCTGATAGGGGGTTCCAAAGAGGATGGATCTAGACTGTTCTCAGTGGTAGCAGATGACAGAACCAGGAGTATTGGTTTCAAGTTGCAATGGGGGAGGTTTAGGTTGGATATTAGGAAAAACTTTTTCACTAGGAAGATGGTGAAGCACTGGAATGCATTACCTAGGGAGGTGGTGGAATCTCCTTCCTTTGAGGTTTTCAAGGTCAGGCTTGACAGAGCCCTGGCTGGGATGATTTAGTTGGGGATTGGTCCTGCTTTGAGCAGGGGGTTGGACTAGATGACCTCCTGAGGTCTCTTCCAACTCTGATATTCTACGATTCTACGACTGTTTGTGTGGTGGCTTGGAGGAGGGGTTTAGCCAGTGCTATTTTACCACTCACTGAACTGCTTCCTGTAGCTGGTGCTACGTTCACAGTGTGACTGGGCAGCTGCGTGACCCCTCCAGTGACAGCAATGACCGGCTGTGATGCAGGGTGAACTGCAGGACTCTGGAGCTGTACCACAGTGGACTGAGAAAGCACCAGTGGCTGACCTAGAATGGAGACAGAAAGACAATGGTCACTGAGTGTTCAGTGGGGAATGGGGAATATGTTTTTATACTATCAATTTGTGGGGGGTGGTTTTGATGGGTAGGGAGGCTTCACTCCCAAAAGCACCTGGCACTGTTCCCTTTGGATTCAGTTCTTAAGCATCAATATACTCTCAAATAAAACTCAGTTAAACAAAACAAGTCTGCAGGGTTCTGTATTTATTCCCCCAATTGCATATCAGTTGATAAACCAAAACACAGCTCTTCCATCTGCCACACCACAAATTTAATCTGGGATCAGATAATTCATCTAGACTTTTTCTGCTTCTTACACTATAACTGGTGATCAGATTTTGCACTGAGAATTTAGCTGGCACTTTTGCTCATAATACACAAAGCAGAATCGAGTTCAGATCACTCTCTCAGAATTGTGCTGGCTCCTCCGGGCTCACAAGAGTGAACACCTGTTGGTGTCACTACGACAAGTGTAACAGCCTTAACAAGGCTGTGAGCCCTAAGCCTTTTAGCACCCTTCAACCCTTAACCAGGGGGCGGGGCTCCTCAGGGAGACCAAGGCTTTAAAAAGCCTGCTCCTAAGTGACCAGAGGAGTGGCCAATGGGAGCTTTGCGAGGGAGTTTACAGGGGTAGTGTGAGTGGGGGCTAGAACTCAACTTTCTTTAAACTGAAAAGCCAAAAACACCCCCTGGATATAAACAAAACAACAACAAAGGAACCAGCTGCAGGAGGAAAAAGAGAATGCAGGCAGAAGTCCAGCAACAGAGTGGGGGCTACCCAGTTTATTGCACCCAATGCAGCATGTATGATTACCTGCCCCATGGGCAGTTGGTGTATGTGTGCATTCGGAGCAAGGAGCTCCTGGCCTTCAGAGACCATGTACGGGCTTTGGACACCAGAGTGGCTGAACTGGAGGAGCTGAGGGAGACAGAGAGGTATGTTGATGAGACTTTCCAGGACACAGTAGAACGGTCCCACCTCTGACAGCCCCTATGCTGTTGAGGAGGATGAAAGTCCCAGGGAAGGAGAACATCTAACTGGAGCAGAGGGAAACAACCCCATAGTTGGGACCCTCCTTCAAGATGATGTTGTGGTATCCTCTTGCACTGAGGATACCTCTCCAGAAGAGGGAACTCCAGCTATTAGAAAGAGACAGGTATTAGTAATGGGCGATTCGATCATTGGAAACATAGATAGCTGGGTTTGCAATGACCGGGAGAACCGCATGGTAACTTGCCTGCCTGGTGCGAAGGTTGCGGATCTCTCGAGACATCTAGATAGACTTATGTGTAATGCTGGAGAGCAGCGGGTGGTCGTGTACATGTAGGTACCAACGACATAGGGAAGGATAGGAGAGAGGTCCTGGAGGCCAAATTTAGGCTGCTAGGTAAGAGACTGAAGTCCAGGACCTCCATGATAGCATTCTCTGAGATGCTCCCAGTTCCATGCACAGGGCCAGTTAGACAGGCAAAATTGCAGAGTCTCAATGAGTGGATGAGACAATGGTGTAGGGAGGAGGGGTTTAGATTTATTAGGAACTGGGGAAACTTTTGGGAAAGGGGGAGCCTATACAGGAAGGATGGGCTCCACCCAAACCAAAATGGAACCAGATAGCTGGCACTTAACATTAAAAAGGTTGTAGAGCAGTTTTTAAACTAAGGGCTGGGGGAATGCCAACAGGTATGGAGGAGCACATGGTTTGGACATCCCTTAGGGGTGGATCTATTCATAGAGAATCTCTATGTCCTAGTGAGGACGAAAGGATGGAAAATGATAAAATACAGGCAGGGTCTGATCAGAAACAGTCAAATAAAAAAGAGTCCCATTCAGTTACACCGTGTAATTGCAGACAGCTAAAAGGAGACACATTTTTAAAGTGCTTATACACCAATGCTAGAAGTCTACATAATAAAATGGGTGAACTAGAGTGCCTTGTATTAAATGAGGATAGTGATATAAAAGTCATCACAGAAACTTGGTGGAATGAGGCTAATCAATGGGATACAATAATACCAAGGTACAAAATATATCGGAAGGACAGAACAGGTCATGCTGGTGGGGGAGTGGCATTATATGTGAAAGAAGGCCTAGAATCAAATGAAGTAAAAATCGCAAATGAATCAAACTGTACCCTAGAATCTCTATGGATAGAAATTCCATGCTCTAATAATAAGAATATAGCAGTAGGGATATATTACCGACCACCTGACCAGGATGGGGATAGTAACTGTGAAATGTTCAGGCAGATTAGAGAAGCTATTAAAATAAAAAACTCAATAATAATAATGGGGGATTTCATATTGACTGGGTACATGTCACCTCAGGATGGGATGCAGAGATACAGTTTCTTGACACCTTAAATAACTGCTTCTTGGAGCAGCTGGTCCTGGAACCCACCAGAGGAGAGGCAATTCCTGATTTAGTCCCAAGTGCAGCACAGGATCTGGTCCAAGAGGTGAATATAGCTGGACTGCTTGGTAATAGTGACCATAATATAATTAAATTTAATATCCCTGTGGCAGGAAAAACACCACAGAAGCCCAACACTGTAGCATTTAATTTCAGAAAGGGGAACTACACAAAAATGAGGTGGTTACTTAAACAGAAATTAAAGGGTACAGTGAAAGTGAAAAGTGAAATCTCTGCAAGCAGCGTGGAAACTTTTTAAAGACACCATAATAGAGGGTCAACTTAAATATATACCCCAAATTAAAAAACATAGTAAGAGAACCAAAAAAGAGCCTCCGTGGCTAAACAACAAAGTAAAAGAAGCAGTGAGAGGCAAAAAGGCATCCTTTAAAAAGTGGAAGTTAAATCCTAGTGAGGAAAATAGAAAGGAGTATAAATACTGGCAAATGAAGTGTAAAAATACAATTAGGAAAGTCAAAAAAAATTTGAGGAACAGTTAGCCAAAGACTCAAAAAGTAATAGCAAATTTTTTTTTTTAAGTACAACAGAAGCAGAAAACCCACTAAACAACTAGTGGGGCCATTGAACGATCGAGGTGCTAAAGGAGCACTCAAGGACGATAAGGCCACTGCGGAGAAACTAAGTTAATTCTTTGCATCGGTTTTCACTGCTGAGGATGTGAGGGAGATTCCCAAACCTGAGCCATTCTTTTTAGGTGACAAACCTGAGGAACTGTCCCAGATTGAGGTATCATTATATGAGGTTTTGGAACAAACTGATACATTAAACAGCAATAAGTCACCAGGACCAGATGGTATTCATGCAAGAGTTCTGAAGGAACTCAAATGTGAAATTGCAGTACTACTAACTGTAGTCTGTAACCTATCATTTAAATCAGCTTCTGTACCAGATGACTGGAGGATAGCTAATGTGACACCAATTTTTAAAAAGGGCTCCAGAGGCGATCCTGGCAATTACAGGCCTGTAAGCTTGACTTCAGTACCGGGCAAATTGATTGAAACTATAATAAAGAACAGAATTGTCAGACATAGAGATGAACATAAATTTGTTGAGGAAGAGTCAGCATGGTGTTAGTAAAGGGAAATCATGCCTTACCAATCTACTAGTATTCTTTGAAGGGGTCAACAAGCATGTGGACCAAGGGGATCCAGTGGATATAGTGTACTTAGATTTTCAGAAAGCCTTTGACAAGGTCCCTCACCAAAGGCTCTTATGCACAGTAAGATGCCTCGGGATAAGAGGGAAGGTGCTCTTATGGATTGGTAACTGGTTAAAAGATAGGAAACAAAGGGTAGGTATAAATAGTCAGTTTTCAGAATGGAGAGAGGTAAATAGTGGTGTTCCCCAGGGGTCTGTTCTGGGACCAGTCCTATTCAACATGTTCATAAATGTTCTACAAAAAGGGGTAAACAGTGAGGTGGCAAAATTTGCAGACGATACAAAATTACTAAAGATAGTTAAGACCCAGGAAGACTGCGAAGACCTACAAAAGGATCTCTCAAAACTGGGTGACTGGGCAACAAAATGGAAGATGAAAATAAAAGTTGATAAATGCAAAGTAAAGCACACTGGAAAACATAATCCCAACTATACATATAAAACGATGGGGTCTAAATTAGCTGTTACCACTCAAGAAAGAGATCTTGGAATCATTCTGGATATTTCTCTGAAAACATCCACTCAATGTGCAGCGGCAGTGAAAAAAGCGAACAGAATGCTGAGAATAATTAAAAAGAAAGGAGTACTTGTGGTACCTTAGAGACTAACAAATTTATTTGAGCATAAGCTTTCGTGAGCTACAACTCACCTCATCGGGTGCATCTGATGAAGTGAGCTGTAGCTCACGAAAGCTTATGCTCAAATAAATTTGTTAGTCTCTAAGGTGCCACAATACTCCTTTTCTTTTTTGTGGATAAAGACTAACACAGCTGCTACTCAGAAACCTGAGAATAATTAAGAAAGGGATAGATAATAAGACAGAAAATATCATGTTGCCTCTATATAAATCCATGGTTTGCCTACATCTTGAATACTGTGTGCAGATGTGGTCGCCCCATCTCAAAAAAGATATATTGGAATTGGAAAAGGATCAGAAAATGGCAACAAAAATTATTAGGGGTATCACACGGCTTCCATATGAGGAGAGATTAATAAGACTGGGACTTTTCAGCTTGGAAAAGAGACGGATAAGGGGAGATATGATTGAGGTCTATAAAATCATGACAGGCGTAGAAAAAGTAGATAAGGAAGTGTTGTTTACTACTTCTCATAACACAAGAACTAGGGGTCAGCAAATGAAATTAATAGGCAGCAGGTTTAAAACAAATAAAAGGAAGTATTTCTTCACACAATGCACAATCAACCTGTGGAACTCCTTGCCAGAGGATGTTGTGAAGGCCAAGACCATAACATGGTTCAAAAAAGAAAAAATCCAATCAGGTGTGTACGCACGCACGTGCACGTTGGCTGGAAGATTTTTCCCTTAGCAGCATCCGTTGGGTCGGCCTGGGCAGAGGGGTAGGAGGGTGGGTATTGGAATGGACATGAACAACACATC